CCTTATCAGACACGGATAAGTAAAGATCCAATGAACAATACCAAGAGAAGCAAACCAAAGCAAAGTCTCTTTTTACATTGCAGCAAGAACTCTGTCGAACGCCTGCCAACAAATATCTTGCAGAGTAGATGCATGGGAACAAACAGGAATAATGGGCACCATTACCTTCAAACACTGAGTTAACCCAAATACACAAAAAGGGATCAAAGTAAAATAATGATTTTTTTAGTAGTGTTCATTGTCCTAGATGAAAATACAATGGACACGTTGCAATGCTTAGAAGGCTCCATTGGTAAGTCAGGAACTGAACAAACTGATGTAGACAGTTATTGCTTTTGCCATCCAGCATCTAATTCCCATTCTTTTTGAATAATACAGCAATTGTACGTTGGGGAACCAGCCCTTTAGTCACACCTTACTCATCTCAACATGTATTTGGCTCTTCAGATAGTACCAGTCACTGAGTTACTGTAAAGAGCTAGAAAGGGATTGAGACACTGTGATTTAGTCTTTATAGAATGGACATTGGCACAAACAGGGAATATTTAACCTGGAGTTAAAATGGAGACTGAGTGAGAATTCCATCCAATCCTTTGCACACAGACCTTGCACACTCCTAGGATAGAATTTGCAAATTGATAGCCTGTATGTAGGTCAGTGACCCCTACAGATGCATATATTGTTGCCCCCCTCCATGGTGTTTTAAAAAATATTGACTCAGTTGACAATATTTTAAAGTGAAACTAAATATCCATGTTGTTAGCATTTTTTAAAAATCTGGTATGGATTTTCAGCTATGTCACTATAAAGGGATTTGTGAGTCCTTTCAACAAAATCCTGGTTGTAAAAATGCACAGAATTCTCACTAAAGATCATTTCAGGATTCAAAGTTACACTGAAAACAAGCAAGATAAGTAGCAAGACCTCCCCTTTTGTAGATGCATGTCCAATGGCAGCTCTCAAACTTTCCCAGACATTATAACTCATAAATTACACACAGTTATATAGAATTTAAATGGTTTAATTCTCTCTCTTAACCGTGCCAATTGATTGATTTAAAGGTGGAAAGGACAGATTTAACTTTTCATGTAATGTTGGGGAAATATAAAATATCTTGTTGGCATGTATAGAAAGTACAATTTTATGACATTATTTGCAACACCATTTTATTTTATTCTTTAAACTTTTATGTAAACTTTTCTTGAAGTATGATAAATATGCAGAAAAATGCACAAACAATAAGGGCATAGTGATGAATTTTTATGAAGTACATATACATGATTGTTTAGACTCCAGAGATAGATAGATAGACAGAGCCTCCTCCAGAGGAAACCAAATTTTCATCTGATTATTTTATCTGTTTTTGTACTTTATATGAGGTAACACCATTTTGTAAATGATGAAGCCAAAACTCAGAGAATACTTGTAATCTGTACAAGGTCACATAATGATCCAAGATTCTTCCTCTAGAGAGCATATTTTTGTGCTCAGCAAAGGGAAAGGAAAATCAGAATGTCACAAAAATTTTAAAAATAAATTAATGCCATGGAAACTGTTTTTCCCTAAATCTTATGAAGATTAAAGTTCCTGAGATACTTAAAATTTTTGAGACAGGATAGAGGTCTTTGGTATTTTGCTAGAGAACCGGGAAAGCTGAAGAAGCTCTGAAGCAGCTGCTAACATAATTACTTTTCAACATATTTTATTTTTTAAAAGTTAAGAAGTGTTCTCAACTTCGGAAGCCATAGTTCAAGCATAGACAAAGTGGTTTTGTCTGGAGTTTTGGCCTTATGTCTGTCAAAGTATCTAAACATAGACAGAAATGTTTCATTTACATACTGTAAAACTTAAGGAATCTTACAAGAACGTAAACTATCATGTGTATTGCTGCACCAAGATTAGAGTCCTTAATCATTAAAGCGGAGTGGGTTAGGATCCAGCAGGAAACATTCACTGTCTACTTTTGCATCAGTTGGAGAAGATGTGTAGCAGTACTATGTCTCATGACTTTATTACCTTTTGGAATGCGAAGCTGTCCCTCAGATTAGTTAGAACACAAACAAGATTGGGATAAGACGTCATTGCAGGCATTGCAGTGTCTAGAGGTAAGTAAGATAAGTGGCATACTTGACTCATTTTTATTCCTTTGATTTTTGAATTTTCACTGGATTCTTAAATTTATTCATAAAAGTCTCAACTGGCACAGGCAAGGCAAGAACATAAGGCAGAAGCCGCATCCTGGTGGTCTGTAGATTTGTACATTTTGTTTGGCCTTTAAAGTGTTTTAAAAAATTGTTTCACTGAATTTTGTAGACAACATTTTGCAATCTGGAGAATTCACACAAACATCTAAATTTCCTGTTTGTCTTGAAAAATCTATCTGACCACAAGAGGCAAAGAATTCTGGCACCAACTGCTGTCCCCTTCCACAGGTCCCAGAGTTACCTACAGGGGCTACCTCGTTCTGCCCTGGCTCCTGTCAGCATCTATCTTTGAGTTTGTGATCCTGTAGATGGTGTGCAGACTTGTACCCTGGGTGAAGTCTTTAACAAGGTTTGTGTCCTTGGGATGCAGTTACACATTCAACACCATTTGTTTTGTCTGCCACGAAGAATCTGTGGAATGACTCCATGGAGTTGCTTTTTTAGAACTTTTGCCACTTATTTGACAGTCTGTGGAGCAAATCTTTGTCCTTGATCTGATTTTTGGAAACAGTCAAAGGAAAATTTGGAGCCAGGTTTGGGCTAAAAAAATTATGTGTCACTATGAAATAGTGAAAACCTGTTTCTCTTGGGTGGTTTGTGAGCTGACTCAAAGGTAATTAAAAACTGAATGTTGTTTGATGAATGACCTTTACTTCTCCAAGATGCCAGAGAGTCTTTCCACTAAACTCCCCTATGTATGACTCTATTGTACATATATGACTTGAGTTTTACATTTTTGTTTACTGCTTTTGTTAGGGGGAAAAGGATGTCCTAAAGCTAATTCCATACAGGTTTTGTGGACTCCACCCCCACCCCAGGCCAAAGCCAAAGACACTGGGAACTCCAAATCCCATCACCACCAAAGGGAAGGTGGCTGGGACCTGAGGGTGGGGTTAAGCAGCCAGGTTGGCATAAAGCCAGACACGTGGGCTTTGGAGGGGTCCCCCATTTTGACTCTCCACCAGCTCCCAGTGTCCGGCCAGCTCGGAGAGTGCTTTTTGGGTTTCCAGGTCGTCGGATCAGGTAGGACGCATTAAAGACTTTATTTCCCTATTTTCTCCCTGAGTTGTACATTTTCCTTATTTCCTTTTCCCTTGTAAATAAACCTTTTATTAACCTTTTGTGTGTGCCTGTAGTGGAGTATTCATAAGTCCCTTGTAAGCGCGCGGGTGAGGACCCACAGCCAGGCAACCCGTTCAATATCGGGGCTGCCCTATAACACTTTCACCACCTTCACCATATAAAGTCACTTGGGAAAGATTTTTTTTAATTCATTTTTGATACGCATGTCTAGATGGAGCCCAAAACATGGGAGATTCATAACTGAATGAAAGAACTATCAGTATAAATGGAAAGCATCCCAAGTTGACCTGTTTAAAGGGGACAGCACTTGACATCTGTTAAATGTTTGTTTGTATATATTTGTGTAATCATCATCAAAATGAAATTAAAGGTATACCTTTTCTTGGTCAGTGAAGTCGGTGGGTACTGAAAAGGAGTTGAAAGTTATTGAGTTCTCCTCAACAGGCAGAGCTCTCTTCACCTTACAGTTGTGGTTTTTCTAACTGATGAGAAAGGAAGTGTAAAGTTGCATAACCGCAATTGAATTAAAAAAAACCCACTAAGAATTATAGCCTACGGTGCATATCCCACAGTCCATAAAGAATCAAAGTATTTTCTGTTGCATTCAAAGTTTTTATTTTTTAAATTTTTAACTTTTTACATCATTGTTCATTTTGTTAAGATTTATTTATGCATACAAGAACTGGGGTACAGGCCACAGGTGGTGGGGGAGATGATTCACCAGAGACCGTGTGGGAGCAGAACAGGCAGACTGAGTGAAATACACTGCTGAGGGGAGCAGCAGATGAGACAGGAGAGGTCTGCCGCACCATGTGGGTAGCTCCCTGGCCGCAGATCAAACTTGTCCTGCAGTGGCTGTGGACAGCTTCATAGAATGTGTCTTAACCCCTTGCGCCACGAGGAAGGCCCACATCATTGCTCATTTTTAAACAATCGTTCGAATTTTTGATATTACTAACCTAGTTATCAATGTCAGCCTTTGAACAGGAAAATACGGACACTGAAGCTTTCCTAGAACAAATCTAAAGGAACTAATAAGTAAATATATTAAAAAAAGAGCAGCGCCACAAACATAGAAACTATACAAAAGCGTAAAAAGCTAAATGTCCCATATATGCATGTATGTTGGTGAAAGCAGATATTTTAAGGGTGGCGAGTCCTCTTTCACAGCTGCATAGGTGGTGGGCGGCAGGGCTTTGAGGGAATTCTTGTTTCTAAGAGGAGAAAAAGAAGGAAACCTTCCCACATGGTCGATCCTAGATCCTATTTGCTCCTCCGTCCAGAAGCGGATTCCACTCTCCCGCTTTGAGAAGCTGCAATAGCCTCGCTGCATCCTTCTCCTCTCCCTCTATTTTGGGGCCCCATGATCTCATGCCCTGTGCAGACCGCACTGCAATTCCAGCGCAGCCGACGCAGGGCGATTCCTGCAAGAGTTTGGATGGTGCCCGGGGGCGGGGAGGGTTAGGCTCGGGGTGAAGTTAAAGACACGCCCACGTGAAGGACCCAAAATAACCGACACGCTGAGTGCCCGAAATCAGACAGGAAGCCAAATAATCCGGGGCGTAGAATTGCTTTTCCCTCATTTGCAGCGCTGGGCGGCGGGCGCGCAGCCAGGGGTCTGGCGGGGGTGTTGGGGGGGCGGGCGCGACGGCGGGGCGGGGCGGGGCGGCCGGAGCCTATTAAAGGCGCGGCGGGGCGGCGGGGCCTGAGCGCCCGGGGCCACCATGGAGCGCGATGGCTGCGCGGGGGGCGGGAGTCGTGGAGGCGAGGGCGGGAGCGGCCCGCGGGAGGGCCCAGCGGGGAACGGGCGCGACCCTCGCCGCGGCCCGGCAGCCGACGCGTCCGGGGAGTCGCAGGCGGCCGCGTCCCTGCTGGCCCCCATGGACCTGGGGGAGGAGCCGCTGGAGAAGGCGGCGCGCGCCCGCACGGCCAAGGACCCCAACACCTATAAAGTGCTCTCGCTGGTAGGTGCGCGCCCCGCCCGGCGCCCCGGGGGGCAGGGAGGGCGGCGCAGCCGGTGCGCCCCGAGCGCGGTCAGCACCCCAGACCCGGAGAGGGACAGCGCCAGTGCCGGCGGCCCCGAGCTCCCGAGCTCCTCCTGCACACTCCTCTGCAGGCTTCTGTCCTTGCGCATCACCCCCTGTGTGTTTTGTCTTTACCCCAGGGGGATGGTTCACTTGCAGTGCTGATGCCTGTGAGCCTTTTGCTGAAGTCGGGATTTTTAAATCGTGATCTTTAGAAACACCACCTCTGCCTTCTAAAAAGTGTAGAGTGTTGGAGGGTAAAATACCAGCCCGCAAGTTGTTGGTCTTGGAAAGGTTTTACCTCTTTGCTATGGCTCTGGGTGCGGTATCAATGACTTTCCTTGTTCACTGATTCCACTTGCCAGGATTCAACGGATTGTTTTATTAGGAACTTTCTAAATGACTTTTTCGTTTGTCTAGCTTTGTTTGATAGTTTTCTTGCAGGTGTTCAGCTATTTCATCATTATTCATAGTATGTGAGGAAGTGTTTGATTTTTTGTCCTTTCTTTTAAGCACATGTTATATGGTTTTAGTTGCCAGCAGAAGTACTAGTTATTCCTCTGCTGTTTTGTTAGGACAGTTGCAGGACGCATTGTCAACTTTATGAAATGTTTCATTCTTGATCTATGGTGCAAGTGCTGGACTGAGAGGTAGAAAGCCTGGGGTTTTGGTTCATGGTCTTTATTAATTGCAGCTCTTTCCAAACTCCAGTTTCTTTTTGTGTTAAAAAGAGAATTAAACTCCATTGCAAAACACATAAGATTATTGTAAGCATCAAATGGAATAATGGGTGTGGCAAAGTAAATTTTTCAATTTAAATGAAGATGTAGTTGCTATTATGGTGGTGTATAGAAGTAACAGATTTCTATGCATAGAATACCGTCAAAATGTACATTATCATCACTTACATACTATGATTTTTGTGCTGTGCAGAGAATGCCTTTTCTGATTTTTGAAATCTCTGTTTCTTTCCTAAGGGGTTCCATTTTCACTGTGTTTTGAATATCATGACGATGTTACAGCACTTTGAGGAACCAACATTCCTAGAATGAGGTGGTGTCACATACTTAGTACTTGAGAATAAGCCTAAGGTTTAAACCACATACTGTTTGCATCCTGGATAGATTCCTGCATCTTATGTCGCAGTTTGAGTGTAGAATCACATGATGTTGATGAGACTTTCATTTGAGTTCATTGAGTCACTTTTTTTGTTGTTGGTGGTGGTGGGAGACCTTAGTTTTTACAAATGGTCACTTAAAATTATTTAGTATTGGTACTTTCAGGTGGTTAGCACACAATGCCTTTGGTCGTGAAAAGCTGCTGATTTTCCAATTGCTAAATTCAATATTTAAATATTACCTACTTATTTACTTACAGATCCAGACTAGTTATCAGAAAAGACTACCTTTGGATTATGCATTTCAGTTCTTGACACAATTAGCTGGGTAAATAGCATTCCTTTACACTGATGAAGCAACTCGGTGTTTGACATGGAAGTGTGTCAGGACTAACCTCCAAAAGCATTGTGATCATTAATATTTTTTTTATTTCATTAGGTAGCACCTTTTGCTGTAATCTATTTCTAATTTGGTATAATTGGAAAGCACTCTTACCTCATGTCTTATCCTCTACTGTGGGACATTAATATACACCAAAACACATTGCTTTATTTTTGAGGACTGGATTGAAAGTGAAATCCTTTACCCACTGATCTTTCCCCGCCCTACTTTAATACCACCTTTTCACCCTTCCATCCCCAACCCTGCCCCATCCCCCAACCCTTCCTCACATTATGCATTTTGCAAATGTTTCCAAAGGGGACTTGACAGTTATCCAACAGCACTGGAACATGCCTTCTAGAAAGAGGGTGCAATTAGGAATTCCTTTTTTAGGTTAAAATCACACTTTTAATAAAGTTGAAAGAGCTTGAGTAATTATTGTATATGGGGTTGATTCTTAGGTGTATAGTTTTTATCTAGCATGATAAAAACAAGAGTTGCCTTGCAGAGAATTAATTATTTAGTGGGTACAGGACTTGTACTTTTTCTGAAAATATTTCAGATGAGCTGAAATGATACAGGTATGTGAGAGTGGACATAGTTGGGAAGGTTCTGCCTTCCTCTTCTTTCCAACATGGTTTGATCCCTGGGGAAGACCAGCAGACTCTGCTCTGGGAGCGTTTGGCCCTGGGCCCTAGAAATGCTCAGGCCTAGAAACTGAGCCAGACTACATGAAGAGGGCAAACACAAGTATTATTCTCTGTATGCTTCAGTAAATATGTTAAATACTGGATGCCCTTTCTTGGCCCCAAATTAAGATTTGAGCTGAAATGTAAACTTCCACTGAGGTTGGACTTGAAGATTCATTTGAAATGACCTTGTCCCCTGACATCATTTTAAAGTGGTAATTTTCAGCCACCTTGCAGTACACTTGTCCATTCCCCAGTGAGCTCTCCTGCAGCATTATGGTGTGTTTGTGACCTGCTGTTCTTATGAATATGTATACCAGTGTACTCAAAGCACACATAGCAAAAGCTGATTTTTGTGTGGGTGGCAGTGATTAAAGACCACTCTTACCTTTTTGTGAAAGAAATCTTTGTCTTGCATGGGGTTGGCATTGTTTAACAGAAATTTGGGTGTGAAAGTTATTAATTCTGTTAGCTTCTCTCTCCTTCCTTTTGCAATGCATTATCTCTAGAATTCACCGCAGAGATTAGTCAGGATAGTTCTCTGTTCTTAATCAAACTGAATTAACATTGCTTTTTGGTTTCTGAAATTTAATTAACCTTTCCAGTCACAGTTCAGCATTTACTTTGAGATGTCCAGAGCACCTTTGGGGCCAAGGAAGTTTCCTGTTCGCCCCTTATGGTAATTGTTTTACATGCTCTAATAAAATATGGCAAGGGTTTCTGGGAATTCACTAAGACTGTTGTGTTTACTATTAGGCCTAAAATAGTGCCTGACTGTTCTGGTTAAATGAATGAATGCACTGCATTTTTATTTAGATTAAGTGATAACTATGACTAGGGCAGCACAAGATATAAAAAACCACAGACCCATATGATCAGTGGATAGTTATAAATCCAAATACAGATGCACTGTTAGAGGTAACACTTGGGTCTAGATTCAGTGGCAATATCTAAACTGGGATATGATTTTATTGGGTCACTGAAGTGGAAGGGGCAGTAGATGAGCTATCAACGAAAGTTCACAACTATGACTTGTGTATCAAGAAGAGGCAGTGATGTGATGACTTGCTTTCAGAATCAGGATCAGTCCAGTATGACCATTTGGCATGTACTAGGAAGGAAGGACATCCTGTGGGTACAGGAGAATCCCCTTACTTATACTGAGGCCTCTTCTGTTTTGGTGACTTTGCAGTCACATACCAAATTCAGTTGTCACGGCTCTTGAAGGGAACTGTCTTCTCTAGCATTGCTTTCCATCCCTTTCTTCTGCCTTCACTCATATTCTGGTGTTTTTCTTTCTTTACCATTTATATCTCAACTATTTCCACTCCTTACAGTCTCTTTCTCTTGGATGCACAGCTCCCCTTTCAATACCTTCCTGTCCCCTCTAATGTTGCACTTACTCAGATAACTCTGCTTTTGCCATCTCCTCTTCCTTTCATATCCTAATTTTGACTCTCAAGAGAATCCCTAGTGACCATGTTGAGAGGCCTCATGTGTTCTGTATGATAAAAAACTGAGGCGTGGGGCCTCCCTGGTTGCACTGTGCTTAAGTCTCAGCACTATGAAGCTATCTGCAGCCACTGAAGCACAAGTTCAATCCCCTGCCAGGTAGTTAACCCACATGGCGCAGCAGACCTCTCCTGTTTCACCCACTGCTCCCCTCAACAGTATATTTCAGTGGATCTGCCTGTTCTGCTCCCTACTTTGTCTCTGGTGAATCCTCTCACCCTCTGCTCCTGCACCTCTGGCCTACACCCCAGCTCTTATATGCATAAATAAATAAAATAAATTAAAAAGAACCCTGAGGCCATTAACCTTTTGAGAATATTTATAGAAATACTTATCAACTTCTCATTTTCCAGCAAACTTTTCCCCTCAGGTATCAATATTAATGGTAAATGCAAATAGTTTTTATAGTCAGTTTTATTTTTGAGTTTGATGAGTTTCATTGCAAAATATATAACTTTAGCAAATGTATTTCATCTATATTATGGACTTCAGGGGTAAATCAGAGAACTTAGCCATGATTCATAGCTTGTTTTTTCTTTTTAGCTACGAGAAAGGCATTTCAAGTTCTAAACAGCCTAGGAACAAATAAGCCTTCAGTACATAACTTGTAATTAGAGATGTGCCTTTCATTAAAATAAACATACTTCTATCTACCATGAAATATTCCCTAAACAACAAAAAATAAACAAGAAAACTTTTAGCAAATGAACTCAAGGTAGAACATAGATTACTCTTCCAAGCCTATGTCCTATGCAACAAGATGTTCAGAATTCTGACCCAATGTGAAAAACCTTTGGCATTGGAGAAGAGCTAAGTTTGGATTTACCAAGGAAAAGAAGGGGAAAGATATGTTTAAGAAGGTTTTTCAAAAGAGTCACAGTGATGTTTAACTAAATGTTAACTAGAACATGGTATTTACTGAGTATTTTAGTTGTGTGCAGTTTAATTACAAAAATTAAGGTAGCATCTGTAATCTTTTTCATTATTTTTTTCCTCTCACTTTTAGATAAGATTTGGTGGAAATGTAGGTGGTAGAACATAAATAGCACTTTGCAGTTTTAGGAAGCTTTTTCCATATTTATATACTTATTAAGTATTTATTACACACTAAATATTGTTACAACTAGTTTAAATGAACCAACATATTATAATCTTCACATGTAGTTATAAGAAATAATACAAAAAGATCTATATCTCCTTCACCCATTTTCCCCAATTGGTGACAGTTCTAACTCTAGCA